TGATCGACCCAGGTCAGCTGTTACGTTTTCCGCTATAATGTTTGAAACCTGAAGTCTGTATATGGTTGGTGATGTCGATCAGTCTGTTAAATTGCCAGAAGATCCTGCAGTTCGAATGCACCTGCGACCGGGTCAATACGGTCCATTTTTGTCGAGTTTCCACTCTGTGTGTATATGTGTGTGTGTGTGTGTGTGTGCGTGCGTGCGTGCGTGCGTGCGTGCGTGCGTGCGTGCGTGCGTGCGTGTGTGTGTGTGTGTGTGTGTGCGTGCATGCGTGCGTGCGTGTGTGCGTGCGTGCGTGCGTGCGTGTGTGTGTGTGTGTGTGTTTAAGTCAGTCTGGCGAACGCTGCCGAGTATTTTGTTGGGGTTAAGACTGGTCCTGTGCTGGACGTGTTTGGTGTGCTCATGCCGGCCAGTTTGGTAAGGCCAGCGTGGCCCTGTGCCGGCTGGTCCAGTTTGAAGGGGGCAATATGAAGTGTCGAATCTGACCTGACTTGTAGCTGACCCTCCAGTCAATATGTTTTATTGATTGATTCTGGACAGTTGGCGCAATTTATGACTGATCCGCCATGGTTTGGATGTTTTAAATGTCCAAATACACCCTGACCCGTTCACATTGTATGCTTGATCAAAACAAATGCAAGCTTTACGGGTGTGACGGTAGGCTGGCCACACATGTTTAGGAAATGCGCCTCCAAATAACTGTGGAGCGTTTCCGTGCGACGCACGAACAGCTGTTATCGGCATCAACATGCGAGGCGTTTTTCGAGTGCAGTACGGCCAAAAATCACTTCAGGATACCTATGGGGTGTATTGGAGTGACACCCATCAGTGTCACCTATGAGAGACATCCATGGGTGTCAAAATCGGTACCCGTGAGTGCGTAGTTTGGCCGAGTGTCCTCTGGAAATACCTGTGGGGCGTTGTTGCGTGACGCACAAAAGACTGTTTCCGGTATAATAATGATATCCGTAGGGCATTCTTTGTTATCGGTATCACAATGATACCCACAGGGCATTCTTAAGGGTGTAATATACTCAACAACTGCATGAGGATACCCATCGGGCGTACTGCCGTTCAACGCCATGATGGGTGTCCAAACCGACACCCAACGGGAATGAGCAGGTATCCAATTTGGCCAAACACCTTTATGGACGTATTTTTTGCTCTTAGTGGGTACGTCCTGGTAAGTGTACGTACTCACACGGTCAACCCCACGTTAAGCTTGTTATGAAATTAAGCTACGCATCGGCTTGAAGTGGAAAGTCATAAATCATGAGAAAACAAGTGTGGAAATGCTCGAACAGGAATCCTAAAACACTCAAAACTTGAAAGAAAGCAAATACTTGAGTCGACCAAATGTTGTCAAAAATATCAATTTTGACGTCGGAGTTGCAAACTAGCGGCCGAAATGCTGGGAGGAATTCGGTTTCAGTGGTTTGTTAGGTCAAATTCGCACACTGACCCCACCCCGGACCAATAAAAAAACCCTTATTGACACTCCTGACGCCCCTGGCCCCTGATTAGCTTCCGATAGGCCACGAACCAATGTATTATAAATGTCTTAAACAGATATTGCTTAAAGGGAAGGTTTCACATTTGAACATGTTGAAGCAAGCATCAGATATGATTGAACAATCCCACTTAGAGCTATTGGTACACTCTGTAAGTGAAAAACTGCATACACGGCACGATTCTCTAGTAAGTAAATATGCTCCTCAATGCGTCATGGTTTGGTTAGGTCATTGTACCTTGCACAGCATTGATTGAGAGCCAATTTACGGCCGCCGTATCTGGAAATCACGTTTACGAACGCCGGATATGAACGCCCCGAAGTATATTTTTCTTGGCCTTGATCGCCGCATGCGTCATGAAACGGCAGGATTTGAAGGACGCTATTATGACGTCATGAATGTCGACGTGACTTAAAAATACTCTCCCCGATGTTCGTTTCCCCATTTTCGCGGGCATGTCACTCAGAAACTCGAGGGGCTTAGGTCTTAAGCGGGGCAGGATTTTGAAAGGCACCGAAAGATCTTAAAGGATGACTATTTCAGTTCAAAGCCTTATATAGATATGAACACTCCCTTAACGTAAATCTTCGATAGATTCGATTACGATACAGGGTCAAAAACCCAGATATTGGCTCGCGTGCCAGGTTTCATAATCACGGAGCTGGGATAGAAAATAGCGCCCAGTCACGGAATGCCAGAGGACATCCTAGTAGCTTCCTGATGGTTGGTCGGCATGAGAAGCCGGGGATTTGCGAAATGCGTCGGACCTCAGCCTAATACGTGCCAGGTTATTGATGGAAAGAAAGACATAAGCGAAAGTGCCCTAACATAGGGCTTCCAATTACTTCCTCTACTTCTTCATGAAAAAAATACAAATGTCCGTGCTGTGGTATCACTGGGCACGCTTTTCTGAAGATCGTCCTGACTGTTTTTAGCGACCCGTTATTTGCTTCTAAGCGCAGGAGACTTTTCACTATGCATGTATCGACTCACGTTGCAACGGAATACTCTATACGTGTGTTTTATCCAGTTGTTGAAAAATGTTCACCTGTTTTGAAATTTGAGCGGCAATAATGAACTTGAAACAATTAATTATATCACAGTTTCCTAATGCTGGCCGGGACGTTGCTGTGAAGGAATTTACCTAGACGGCGTAGGGATATGGTGATCATATCTGTCTTATCCCTCAAGTCCCTGAGCTTTAAATGAGAAATTGTGGATCTTAGTAATTGTTTGAAAGTGCCCTCTGGACCACATCATGCTATGCAAATGCACTCCATTAGCATGCCATCGTTGATCATCATGTCGTCACCAACCAGTCGTTATTTTTGTTCGCGCGGGATGTTTGGTCGTTAAAACCGAACTGACGTGGAAATCCATCACAAAAGTTGGCTCGGGTTCCGATCACGCAACGCGGCAAGTATGGTTTGCCGACTTTCACGTAATTTCTGCAGCCTAACTGGTAGGGAGCTCCAATTGGAAGCTGTAAATTGTCGCATCGGCCTGGAGGCGTCTTGACACCGGCCAGCAAACTTTGTTGCTGAAGTCTCAAGAGGCCTTCCGAGCATCCTGTATGAAATACGTAGGGTCCGCGCAGTCGCATGATCCGAAAGGCTCTCTGCTCCCAGTCAAATATGCTAGCTGCCGGGTTTATATTTCGACCCTCACTGTTATTTTCGGTGCCATACCACAGCTTAATGTCACTTTGATTTTTATTATTCGGCGACTCACGTACACAGAAGTGGCCCCGAGTCTCATCGCCTCGCCTCTAGCGTTGGTTTTCGCAGAGAACGCGAAACTTCAGAACGCGGAGGCACGAGCTTTCTGTGCCACAGTTACCCAGAAAAAACAACCATAGCAGAAAATAATAGGATTACCTCTTGCCGAAAATGCTGGCCTTTCGGGCCGGGTTTCTCGTGGCTGAAAACCCGGCCCCGATATACACATAACAATAACTGTTGGTGTGCTGCTGTAACCATCCATATTTCATACTATGCTGAGAAAGGTTTCGGATCTAATGTCAATCAATCGAGAAGTCAGTTCGACGCATCCATACCACTAAATTTCCTGTAGAAATCAAGCTTTCCTGACAAGGGCTTGATGCCTCTTCGGGCTTTTTGAGGGTGCCTCTCCGGCATCTATCGCGCGCGCTTTGACACCAAAAAATTTGCTTCTGGCGTCCATGGTAACAAAGCAGCGGCGATTTTTTGGAAACACTATTCTACGATCTACGGCCTGAGCGGCGGCCTGAGTGACGGGCGACAGCCGCAATGCTGCGGTCCGACATTGCCTTGTGGGTATGACGTAACGCCAAATAGGCGCGATTTTCTGGAAACTTCGACCTTTGACTTGCCATAATGGGCTCACTTTTGACCTAACAATTTAAAAACTACTGCAAATCGCGAGGTTGCGTTGATACAAATCCACTGGTCTTTTCGCCAAGTTCTATCTTTATTAGTTTGGAACCACCCGGCCAGTTCGCCTCAATCCCCCGTATCAGACCGCGCTTTGGAAAACAGGGAATCAGGCCAAGGATTAACTTTTCTGGACCAGTCTGGTCTCTATAACATGGCCGCCCCGATAGCTCGCACCCGCTCACCGCGCGGTCTATGGAAAGCGCCGATCCCAGTTGGCGGTAAGCGATGTAAAATTTAAAAAAAGCGATGTATAGACAAAAAACTCATCACTTTCCTCCCTATCAATTCGTTCTGTGTGATAAGCCTGGTACCATTGTGTAAATAGCGAGCTTCTAATAGAGCCAAATTTATCAAAGCGGACGGGTAACTTTCGGCATGCAGTGGCGATATATCCAGGTACCTGTTGTGTGAGACCTGTCTACATGTGTGCTTGTGCGCATCGGATACGGTGCCGGGCCTCGATCCCCTGCCGTTGGATGCTGCGGACGAGGGTAGGTCTATATTTGCTTTCGCCTTATATGAACAAACTATGCTACCGTTTTTGCGTCCGGTCGCAGGTCAACCTAATTTGGTTTATTGTGAAGGATCGGTGAAATGTTGTTGTTAATATTTTTTCTTTTGCTTTCCCTGCTAGCCTGTTTTTTTACACTCAAAACTTAGCACATCGAAATTTGCTGGAGTGGGTTCTTTAGGCAATGCTTTGGCACGTCCAGCTTCGTGTTGTGTCCTGCTTTGGGCATGTCATGTCCAAATTTAGGCACGACGCCGTGCCTGGGTACCCCAAAGCACTGCACCTTAAGTCTCGCATCACCGATAAAAAAGTTTGGGAGTCAAAGAGGAGTATTTTCGAAGAGTTCCCTAGACCCATTGTTAGCGTGTCAACGGCAGCCGGGTGTTCGGTCTCTTCGCGGGCGTCGGAACACTTGGAACGGAAGTGCCTCCAAGACAACTAAAAACACCACCGATGTTCTGAAACGCCCTTTAACGATCTAGGCGGTGGCCTCGGACACGCCCTGGTCAGCATTGCATACCCAGTGACAGTGTCCCCAAGGCTTCCATTGGTACTTACATCGGCCAGTCTGTCGAATGAGGCGAAGAGCTCGTTCAGCATGTGCACGAGATCGTAGGCCGAGTAGGTGGACGAGATGGCCGTGAAGCCCACGATGTCGGCGAAGAGAATGCTGCCAACGAAACAAATCCTCAGCTGGGACGTTGTGCGCGGGTCGAACACATCACCAGTCGGGAGGGAATGGTACAGACGTCATCGGCTGGAGAATGATGTTAGCAGCGGAGCGAGGAATCCCACCGATGCCGCTACGCGCGCTACCGATACAAAATACCATCGCCTCGGGAAGAACGCTGCTGGCGCACTGCGTCATCGGTTGGAAAACCACGCTGCTCGCCACCACGGCGAGTGAAATGTGTGGCCGACAGGTCACACTTGGCTACGATGTATGATTGTGAGCCAAGCACGGCAGTAGCAGAAGCGACCGAAAATTGTGCAGCGAGCCCCGTGACCCCAGTTCCCGAGCTCAGGTGCATGCGACGGCGGCTTGTTACGCAGGGAGACTCCCCAGTGACCTTGACCACCTGGGGGGGGGGGGGGGGAAGGTCGGCGCCTTCGGCGATTACATCGACCCGGATGTCTTTACGAGCGGGCGTCGGCCGAGCTGACTGCGGCAAACAATCTCTATCCCCGCGCCACGTTCGTCACAGACATTATGCAGATTGTCTACAGCTGGCAGCGGTTGGGGAGAGGCTCATGCTGTACGCCGAGGTCAGTGACGCAAACAGCCAGAATAGGAAAAAAGTTGATCCATCAGTGGTATTGGCGACAAGCGATGCTTATCAACGCGACCGATGTATTAACAAAGTAAATAAAATTGGCGGCGTTAGAAAAACCTGGATAACGAAATTGTTTCCGGGAAGAATCGACAGCCATTGCGGTAAATGGAGAGGTGCTAGGCGCATTGATACCCGCTACCACGTTTCATGGGAACTTTTTCGTCTTAAAATATGCGTTAAATCTTCATATCTATACTAGCGGTGGAGATGAAAGCGAAATCTGCCCCGCATACTTTTTCTGAAACAGCATGAACACGTAAAATTACTTGCAAACGATTTTGGGCGTGCACAATACAGCCAAAAAACACAGCGAAGAAAAACGCAACGCTAAGTAAAAAACCAAAACTCATTAGCCAGTAAGTATTTGAGTTGAAGCCTGACGAAGTCGGCATATCCACCAGCCACAGCGACGCAGCGAAGACACAGCGAAGACAGCAAAAAAACAAAACAAAAAAAAAAAAACGCAACGTTTAGCAAAAAACGAAGCTCGTCTGCCTGTAAGTATTTTAGCTGCAGCCTGACAAAGTCCGCATATCCACCAGCCCCAGCTGCCGGCCGACCGCGCCCAGAACTGTTCGCGACGGGGCTGTCGAACGTGGAGCGAGTTCGTGGAGCAATGTCTTCTTCGGAAGCTAGTCTTAGAAAGGGGTTTGCCATCGAAAGGAACCTTTGCTCGATTTATCCAGGCAGTTCGCCACGCCATATGCTTGAAAACCCATTTATCGAAAGCGTCTCTATTGTTTGGTGTATTCTTATCACATGAACATAGGCTTTTCACAACCGTACTATTATCAATTGTCTCTATCAAACATTCATTAAATCATCTTCAGAAAACGATACACAAAACACATTTGGCACCATGTCATACACGTCCACGACTTCAAACAAGTGTGTGGCTACTTCATGCGTGTTCATGACTTCAGACATGTGTTTGGCTATCCGGAAAGCTTTGTTCTTAATCATAATTGCCTTTGTAAAAATAGCTGAAATAGATTTTGCTAAAACCATTGCATGGGCCAAAAACTCAGCCTTTGTTAGCTTCCTTTTAAATTTTCCGTCCCCTTTTCTTGTGATTAGTAGTGTCTTCATTTCACCTCTGGTGCCCCCAACATATCAGCGACTGGGGCATAATTATACAGCTTAGCACATGTATCATGTGGTGATAAAGAAATCAATTAGTGGTTTTCCCATGCAAACGCTTCCATGCCTTTAACGTCGAACATTTTCTGCCGTGATTACCAGCCAACATACGACTTCCCCTGATGACCTCGTTTAATTCCCAGCTGCTTGATCTGCGGCTTATGTATACCGGGTATCAAAATATCACTCCGGTATGCTTCTCCAACAATTCATAGATATTTGATTGCTCGGAGGAAAGATAGCAGGAAGAAAATATCGGCTGAATGCCTCCTCCATTCGTTTCAGGAAGCGCCAATTTGAAAGGGCCTCCAGCAAACACGATCTAAGGGTTTCGGATAACCTGGATTTTTATTAGTCTTCCACCGAGAGTGATTTCGCAACAGATTCGACCTACTGTTTGGCAAAATCATTGCCTTGGCGCACAGTATTTATAAAGCTATTCACGTGTTGTTTGTTTTTCAAACTTAGCAAATGTTTGACAAATCAGGTATGCATATGTTTAATGAACATCTAAGAAATATTCGCGAAGCCACAAAATTCCAGCTGGCACAGTGGTTGTTCGGGAGTAACAGCTGTCCGCACAGTTGACACAGTGGCTGTCCGGGAGTAACAGTTGACACAGTGGCTGTCCGGGAGTAACAGCTGTCCGCGCAGTTGACGCAGTGGTTGTCCGGGAGTAACAGCTGTCCGCACAGTTGACAGTGGCTGTCCGGGAGTAACAGCTGTCCGCACGGTTGACACGGTGGCTGTCCGGGAGTAACAGCTGTCCGCGAGGTGCAGAACAGGTTATGCTATGGGTGCCATAGTTATTGGTGGATCTGCGATGGATATATAAATCAAGTTACGGATGAATAGGAAAAGTGGTCGAAGCTTAACAAGCTACAGTTATGACGTCCATACAACAGAAGTTCAAGGTAGGTATACATCAAAATTTTGCATAGTGAAACTGACCACGGCTGTGTTATGGCTCCCCATTCAAAACCAGCTATGTAACTGGTTACATCCAACGCAAACTAAAACAACAATTTTTTTCGCAAATGTTTGCTAGAAGGAATATTTCAAAAATATGTTAGGAATATTGAGAAATGTGAGGCAGTAGCATACCCATCCCTCCAGAGTTCCAAACATTTTATACAAAGGAGTCCCCGAACTAATCTTTCTCGTTGTCTGAAGCCAAAGATTGTTGGCTGGGGCCATTCAGGGCAAGACAATTTGTTCACCTTTTTCAGCCATTTCAAAAGGGCTTGAAAATACTTCACGTACCACTCCTTCCGTAAAAACGAACATGGCTTAAACGTAGCCCAGCGCTGGGTGGTGGTCCGACACACAACGTGCACCAGTTCACGCCATTGCCAGCAGCAGGCACTGAGACCAGCGCGCCCGTATCTACCTGACGTTCTCGTGGCGTTTCATGTAGATTTTCTTGAACTGCCCCACGTCCATGCGGCCCCAGTCCTGGCGCATCGTCTCCGCCACGTGTCTAGGAAGCACGGACAAGAGGAGCCGCTCCTGTAATCAGGGACGGCAGGGACATCAGCGGGAGATACTGCAGTCGGAGACAGCACGGACAAGAGGAGCCGCTCCTGTAATCAGGGACAGCAGGGACATCAGCAGGAGATACTGTGGTCGGAGACAGCACGGACAAGAGGAGCCGCTCCTGTAACCAGGGACGGCAGGGACATCAGCGGGAGATACTGCAGTCGGAGACAGCACGGACAAGAGGAGCCGCTCCTGTAATCAGGGACGGCAGGGACATCAGCAGGAGGTACTGCAGACGGAGACAGCACGGACAAGAGGAGCCGCTCCTGTAATCAGGGACGGCAGGGACATCAGCGGGAGATACTGCAGTCGGAGACAGCACGGTCAAGAGGAGCCGCTCCTGTAATCAGGGACGGCAGGGACATCAGCAGAAGGCACTGCAGTCGGAGACAGCACGGACAAGAGGAGCCGCTCCTGTAACCAGGGACGACAGGGACATCAGCAGGAGATACTGCAGTCGGAGACAGCACGGATACCGGAGGCCGCTCCTGTAATCAGGTTCGGCAGGGACATCAGCAGAAGATACTGCAGTCGGAGACAGCACGGATACCGGGGCCGCTCCTGTAATCAGGGACGGCAGGGACATCAGCAGGAGGTACTGCAGTCGGAGACAGCACGGATGCCGGGGGCCGCTCCTGCCATCAGGGACATTGCAGAAACAGGAGGATGCGCTTCTGCAGCAAGGGACAGCGGGGCCAGGGGGCGATCAGAAATAACACGGATATCATCAGCCACTCCTGCAGCTAGGAACGTCACAGACAGCGGTGGCCGCTCCTGAAATCAGGGACACCACCGACTTCGGTGATCGTCCCTGCGATCAGGGACGCCACGAAAATCAGTGACCGCTCCTGCGATCAGGGACACCACTGACAACCGTGGCCATCCCCATGAACGGACATTCACGGCAGGCGCCCAACAATCTTCCCCAGCTCGGCTGTTCAATGTGGGATGTTATCGTCCTCTTGGAAGATAAAGTCACTCCTGCCATCGGCCATGGCCGACAGTCGTTCCTGCAGTCAGGGAATACTGGATTTCATCAGCCAGACCCAATCCAACAGACGCAATCTGGCCAGTTCGGACATCGACTGACGGAATCATTTTGTAGCCATGCGTGGTCATCTAACTTATCTGCTGGACTATCTGAACTAGGGTAAAATAGGCCGCGGAATTTCGCGGAGAAGCGGCCGTCGAGAGTCGCCTCACACCGAGCCCGCCATCAACCGTGAGGAGTGTCAGCATGTGCTAGTGCAGCCTAGCACGTCCGTGCTTTCCGCACGAGTTCGTGATTCAGCAAACAGATCCAGCGGGCGTATCTATCAAACGACAGCCGGGCAGGCTCGCCAGAGACGGCGGAAAGCGGCCTGATTCGACCTCCTGCTTCTGCAGCCTAGGCGCTCTCCTGCTAAAAAACTGTGCGTGGCTTCGACCGCTGCCGGGCCTGGGCGGGAGCCCCGCGGTCGCTATCGACCCGGGCCGGGCAGAGCGGCCAAAGCTCCTCAGTTGGCGCCGGCAGAGTGGCGCGCCCGCTTCGTCGCGGCACGGCTGCGCCAATTTCGTCGCTGCAACGCTGCGTCAATTTGGCTTGGCGCCTCCCAGCAACAGGCCACTCGGCCGAGGCCCTGTGCGCAGGCCGGGTCAGGGCCGAGCCCGAGACAAGGGATCGGTGAGGCACGTAGACCTTTTTTTGGGGGGGGGGAGCCGTCTACGCACGTTTAAAATAGCTTCATTTTATGCCGCTGGGCACCTGAGCGATTGGGGAAACCAAGACGCGTGCTCCATCCCCCTACGCCTCTTTCCTGTATCCGCCCCTGGCCACAGTCGCCTGGGACTATACCGAGACGAAGCGTACGCCCGCACCACCCTCGCCCGCGGCTTGTGGACCGAAGGCAAACCAGACCCCCTCCCCCCACCCCTCCCCGAGGTTGAAACTCCTCAGTTGAAGACGACAGTGTGACCGGATGCAACTGGTTAGAAGGATGAAAATTGCCCACAGGAGTATCGCCGCTCTCAATCTGGTACCTTTGAGATGAGTGGCATTCGGTTCGCTCATAAGCTTTGTACATGCCGACGGGAAATCACATATATTTTAGAGATTGCTCCTTGGATTCTTGTTTAACAAAGTGCTGTGTGATCTCGTTCATGCCAGCGCAGTACTCTCGGTTGTGCGCTTTTTCAGCAATCAGGAGTGTCGATAATCCCCATGCACAACTCTCCATCACGGGATGAACGGTTCTCTAACGTCTGCTAGGTGAGTGCGAACACACAGGCCCTTGCTCCCTAAAAACTCCAAACATCCAGGACCAGAAACAAACGTTACCGAACAAGCCCTACAAAACTGCACAGACCGGCGCCATCCGAGACCTTTGACTGTCCAAAAACGGGTCAGCGTGGTAACGCCGTGCCTGTAGGTTCAATTTTTCTCAATTTTTCTCAATCCTAATTTTGGAGTGCATTTACCATGGCAGCGATCACAACCGGAATGCCAACAGCTGTCACACTGCATCATGAGCTGAAAGCTGATCCTGACCGTGGTCTGCTGCATGTCCAGTCAGTTTGGAGGAACAAGGCGTGGTACGCGGAGTACCGCTATCACAGGACCCGAGCATGGTGCAACTGACTGAGTGCCGCGGAGATTTTCCGGTGATGGCGTGGTCAGATGAACCACGACAGGAAGTTTGTAGCCCGTTGGCCGCATTTTTAGATGTTATTTTCGCTCCTCACGCCTGGCCGGAGCGGTGGCAGAGTATGGGTTTCCCGCAACGGTAGTTTTAATTAACACTAGAAAGGCCTGTTCCACCACCGTAATTCGCAGCCTTATTTTTTCGGTTCGCAAACTTTTCCAATTTCATAAGTTTTGTCTCGGTTAACCGACCGAAAGTGGGAAAACAAATGATGCTTGCCTGGCAGGTGACGTCCACTGAGCTCATAACGCCGTTCCATTTGTGTTACTGATGGCTGCGTGCACGCCGTCATCACATAAAACGAAAAAACAAAACGATCTCACGATTCCAACATAGCTCCGGGATCAAATGTAAGCAGTCGCATCGCGTGACGTACCACCAAGCGCAATCCTTCGCTACCTCGATCGTCACATATCGCGAGCAGGCCCGCCCGCCGACGTAAAGTCGCAGCGCTCAGCTCCGTTGAATCATCAGCAGTCGCAGTCAGCGGGTGGCGGAATTGCAAAGGTCACACCGGGTGACCCCGACGCCCGAGGTAGCAAATGACCCGACTCCAAGGTCACGGCTGGTGCCCTGTTTCTGCTGTCACCAGGCCTCGGGCCTTCCTTGCGTCGACTGTGACATAGGAGACGAAATGGGACGTGCTGATTTAGGCGTTCTCTACCACTTGCTCTTACAAGGATAAGGATTGTGTCCCAACTCCAGGTGGCTTCCAAATAATCGCCACCGCTAGCTACCTGTGTGCAAACTTTGGATCGGATTATTCCACATTTATATGGAGTTTTGAACTGAAGTAGCCATCTTAGAGACCTTCCGGTGCTGTTCATTATCCCGCCCTTCTTAAGACCTAAGCCCCTTTAATTTCTGAGCTACACGACCACGAAAATGGGGAGACTTTTCGGGGAAAGCATTTCAAAGTCACTTTGGCATTCATGACGCAATAATAACGTCACTCAAATCCTGCCATTCCATACTCCATGCGGCGACCCAGGCCAAGGAAAATCTTATTGTCGAGACGTTCATATCCGGCGTTCGTGAGACGATTTACAGAAATAACGCTGCCGATTGGCTTAATCGATGTTGCGAAAGGTGCGACGACGTAAATCACACAATGATGGATCATGGAGCAAAGTTACCAAATAAATAAATTGTGATGGCTAAAGTAGTTTTTCTACTTAAAGGTATATCAAAACCTATAAGTGGCGTTGCTTTATCATGTCTGATCCTTGCTTCAGGGTCTTCAGATGTGAAACATTCCCTGGACAAGAATGATAATGTATATATATATATATATATATATATATATATATATATATATATATATATACAAGTTGATAAAAATCAGGCGACAAGAACAAAGCCACGCAATAATGGACTGATGGGACACTAATATGTGGAGCATCGTATCATCGCCTGTTTGTGTTTGGTTCGTCTTCAAACGACTTCCCAGAGCTAATAGCGATGAAAACCGTTTTCTGGCCCTAGGGCTTGCAGGCTTTCAAAGGGGACTGATTTGAGGCAATTTGATAGCTGAATCTTCAGGGAACATTTCACTGCTGGCAAAATGCATTTCAGCACGAAAGGCCAACGGTGGTTACCTTAATCTCTTTACCATACTCTAGTGAGAATACCTTATGCTAGTTAGCAGCGGTTATGGTTTCCATTGCTGAATTCTGATGTTCCGGATCTGATCGGCGCTTACAATGGTTATATACCCTCTCCTCTCACGCGCACACCAGCACCACGCCAGCCTCGAACGCGGCTGCGCTGCCCTCAGCTGGGCCGCCCTCAGCTAGCGTCGGCGGCACGCCCGTGGATGCCTTCGCAGACCGCTCGGGGATCGGCCGCCAGCCCCGGGGGATCGCCGCCCCGCCTCAAGCAATCACTTATCCGGCGGCGGCGGCGGCGGCGGCGGCGGGGGGGGGGGGGGGGGGGGGTCGGAGCACCATTGCCGACGGCGCCACAGACGGTGGGCGCACGCCATGGACGTGCGGCAGTCATTGCCTCATGACGAGCGCGGATAGCGCCGCTCCCGGCTGCGGCGGCGGCGACCGGGCGTCTCCGGGAAGATAACGGCTCTCTGACGACCCTGCGCTCACCGCGAGCGCCGCTCCTGCGCCGCTATTGTGGACGGCGGGCGGGGGACGCGTGGCCGCCCGTGGGCTGCACTGCGGTGGCTTTTGTGGCCCGTGCGTGCGTGTGTGGTGCCCACGCTGCAGTAGTTCGAATGTGCAGGTGCATGCGGAAATCAGCTCAAATTTGTATCTTTATGTTGGTGGTT